GGCGCCGGTGACTCCGTCAGTGACACACAATTTTAGTAAACAATATTCGTCGTGGTCGTGGTCGTGGTCGACTACCGTGTCCAACAACCCCGGATCGAAAAATAATAATAGGGGGAAGGCTAAGGCAAAGGGAGAGTCGACTGCAGTCAACGGGAAGAATTTGGATCCACTGATTGGTATGTCTATTATTTTGGTGACGTTGATTATTATGTTAGTATGGGGTCGTTTGTGTGCTATTCTGTCGACGTCCGCATGGTTTTACTTCCTTCCGCGCTTAAGATCAGCGGCGGCCGCCACCACTACTGCTGCCAATGGATTTGGATACCCTCATCATAATTCCAGTTCCAATGTGAATACCCCGCGGGCCTTGGATATGAATTCTGAAGAAAGCAAGAAGAAGGTCGTCTTGGAGGGATTTCTTGAGAGGAATCACCGGAATATAATTCCATAAACTTGCAGCTAGAAATTGGGCTATTTGAGATGCAATAAAAGAAAAATAAGGAAACGACGTTCAATCAAATAAGTTATAAGTTATTTATTACTGTGATATTTTGAAAGTATATGTGATTGGCACATATGAAATATTACTTGTTTCATCATTTTGTCCTTGCTTTGTGTGTAATTAAAATTTTGAGAACATCAAAGTATCATGTGTCATGAAATATTTGTGTACTGTTACATTTTTTTTTAATTTTTAATCTGGAACGATAGCAATATCATTAAGAAGAGATGAAGTACAAAAGCCACTACAAAGCAAGCTACTAACACCAGACTAGCCATTACATCCTTCAAGCAATGATTCTAATTGTTTTGTACGTATGAAAACTTTATGAATTAATACATAAACGTTTTGTTCAGTAAATTTTTTAGGTTTTTAATTGTGATTTTGTTGTTTGAGGATGACCCCATTCGTACAAATCTCTATTTGTCCTGGGTTTCAACAATTAAGTTTTGTATTCTTTTTTTTTTTCCGACAAAAAAAAAAAATTACCACTAGACCGTATTACTAATTCACAAGTGAATATTCTTAACTAATCCAACTATTAACCACTTATAAAAATAAGAAGGCTGCTTTGCAAGGATTTGTCACTCATATGTGAAACCATAGCAGTTCACAAATTTTTTTTAAGTTTTTTTAATTTATACAAATATATTATATTAAAGGGTGAGGAAAATAAATTGATATCAAACTTATCATTTACGAGATTCAAAATTTTTACTTAACTATGACTTCACGTTCATAAATAAAAGAAGAATACTTTTAAATCTTAATTTTCCCAAAACTTATTTACAAGAAAAAAAAAAAAAAGTTTTCTCACTTCACAACCTTAACCCTGAAAAGTATAGGTCCAGTAACCGAACTACGTATCCGTACAGACCCAAACACAAACAATTTTCTCCACCCACTCTGATTGTAATTTACCTTGACCTACATGTGGTATTAACAAAACCCCCAACTCCTTAACCCGACCACATAGGAACCCGACCAACCCAGATCCTAAAACACAAAAACACAGTGTCTCAAACACTTCGAGGGTTCGAGTAACGTTTGAACCCATAAAACCTATCCCTCGTCTGCGAATCCCTCCCCCTCCTCTTGTTTCTGTTATTATGAGAGGCTTAATCTCAAAGGCGAAGCTCCTGGCAAGCAGCAGGCCATGGCGCCCATCTCTGCGCAGCTACAGCTTGATCCCCATGGTCATTGAGCACTCCTCCCGAGGGGAACGCGCGTACGACATCTTCTCCCGCCTCCTCAAGGAGCGGATCATTTGCATCAACGGACCCATCGACGACGACACTTCCCACGTTGTCGTCGCGCAGCTTCTCTACTTGGAATCCGAGAACCCGTCGAAGCCCATCCACATGTACCTCAATTCCCCCGGTGGTCACGTCACTGCAGGTCCTTTTGTTATTTCCCATTTTTATTTCTGTTTATTTTTTTATAGGTGTGTGAAATTCTCGTGCTTTAATTTACATATTGTTTTGGTTTTCGATTTGTCGATTGCAATTTTGAGATGTCAGAAATGAGATAGTCGATTTTGTTTTATAGATTTTAACCCGATTTCGACTTCCATTTCACCACCTGGTTTACTTATTTGTGTTTTTGGTTGTTCGTTGTTATATTAACAGTAGAATGAATTTATACGCGCAGTATCTGTTTCTCGAAAATGAATTTTGATAATCGATGAGTTTATTTATAAGCTCGAAATCTGTAGCGCAATGTATATCCTTGTTGAATATATGTGGACGGTGAATTTATTCTAACTCGTACCCATGAAATCTGTAATCTTTTCTTTGTGGGTAACCTTCAAGTTGGACAAAATAAGGGATTTGTCATTCATTTCTTCCTTGAAAATGCCTTCAATATAGTGAATAGTCCCACCCAACCTGATCCTCTCATCAAATGAGGCCTTAAGAAAACTAATGGTTATGTGGATTTGTTGGTTCAGAGGATTTTGTGAATAGTTTGGTTTGTGTAACCTGTGTCATAAGCGCATTATCAGTGAGAAGTATGGGATTTTCTTATGACTTAAAAATCTACTAAATACTAAGTTGTTGAGTGGAATTTGATTCTACAGACCCGTCACGAAGTAGAACTGTTAGAGAAGTCATTGACATGCATAACCATGAAATGATGATGTTGGTAACATTTTGGAATTGGATTAATAGTGGTGATGGATCTCCATTCAAGTAAAACAGAAATTTTAAATTACCATTGTATGATCATGTATACCATATATCACCAATGCTGAGGCACTTAGTGGCTTGCACTCTTTGACATGGGTCCTCTTCACCGTAATATTGCTTACAGTTTTAACTCTATCTTGGTTTATGTTAACTATAGTTGAATCCTAAATGTTGTTAATTGTTAAGTGTCGGTTTAAACAAACGGGAAAACAACTGCTAGCCATAAGCTTTGGAGTACGGATATTAGTGGTCCACGAACTTGAATAGATTGTAGAGCATTAATACGCTAATCCTAGGAAGTAAGAAAAAAAAGAGGCATGAGGGTGATCATGCTTGATAGATGATTTCCTGGTCATGGTATAGTGGTGTGTGGGAATATTAGTACTGGATGTTTAAGGAAAATACTGTCTGAGTTTTGGAAGGTAGCTGTAGAGTTGTGTGGCAGCCAAACATCTTGTGTCTGCATAAATTATAATATTATGAAGAAAAACTAGGTATCACAACCATGAATGGAGTTGTGCCACGCACTTTTTCACTTTGTTGAACCGCCTCAATACTTAACTTGCTTGAAAGCGCGCAATTTTCTGCTTCATTAGACTGCCACATGAGATTGGCAAAACTGAAGACTAAGTGCATAACTACAACAGAACTATTTTTCCATTTATGAGTCTACTCTATCTATATACTCCTGGCTTTGGAGCTGAGCCTTACGCACTAAGCATATTGGTAATACTGATCTGGTAGATAGAAATGGAAGACAACATGGCTATGGCCAAACTTGATTATGATGTTCCAAATCGTACTGCATGAAATTACGATTAACATTTAATTTGTTCTGATCACTTGCTTTCACCAAACCTCAATTCTTTATGTTTTCTAATTGGGGTCGAGAAGTCAACTAAGTGTAAGCCTTGTACCAGGTAGTTGGGGTAAAACAACATAAATCTTTATTGAACATTTGGTCTTACTTAAAACGGTTTCTATTAGATATGTCAATTCAAAAAGTTGATACTACAATCCTTACTACAATGTTATTATATTTGGGAGAAACGTTAGTACAATGCTTGTGTTTCCCCCTTATGGTATGTTTTAATTCCTTAATTTGCTGATACTTGTGATGTGATTTTTAAACAGTATGGCTATGTTTTATACTATAAAAAAACGAGACTTGGCAGAAAATGATATCAATGAATAGAGGAATAGACGAGACTCAATGCATGATTTGGTTAAAATTCACCAGCATTGTTACATGGTGATGATTGTATTAGTGCATACAGGTCTTGCAATTTATGATACGATGCAGTACATTCGGTCACCAATCAGTACCATTTGTTTGGGCCAAGCTGCATCAATGGCTTCTCTTCTCTTAGCTGCGGGCGCCAAGGGTGAGCGGCGGTCTCTCCCAAATGCTACAGTTATGATTCATCAGCCTTCAGGCGGGTACAGCGGACAGGCCAAAGATATGACAATTCACACGAAGCAGATTGTTCGTATCTGGGATTCCCTTAATGCGTTGTACTCAAAGCATACAGGGCAATCAGTAGATATAATTGAGAAGAATATGGACAGGGATCATTTTATGACCCCAGAAGAGGCAAGGGCATTCGGAATCATTGATGAGGTGATTGACGAAAGACCAATGGCTCTGGTGACTGATGCTGTTGCCAATGATGGCAAAGAAAAGGATAAAAGTTCAAAGTAGGAGCAGACATCTAGGTCTCAGTCTGAAACCATCTCCCCTTTTTAGCTTGCTTTTTAGCTTTCTCAGAATTATATTTCTCATGTTTCGGTCCGTCCCGGAGGTTAAAATGATTTGTTTCTCGCCTTGGCATTCATTTGGAATTGAGTATTTTCATCAAGGGCAGCATCACTATTAATCTTCAATTTTGGAGTGACGAGAAAAAGAATGTCAGAGAGTGCAGGGTAAACGCTCTTAACCAATTTGATGTTGCATACTTTCTCATTGTTGATTCTTTCTTCATCTTTTGCTCCTATTTCCTATTTCCATCGAATAAAGTGAAACAGTATTTACATTTTAGATTTATTGATTAAATAGAAAGAAAAAAAGGGGAAGAGGGAATTAAAAAGGAAATGGAAAAAAATAAGGAATCTTTGCCACGTAGAGTCCCGACCAATCTCATCTTCCTGAATTAAATTTTTTAAGGAATAAAAAAGGTTTAATGTGTTTTTGTCCCGAATGCTAATATTAATATGTAAAAGAAATTGAACCCAAGAATAAAAGAAAAATGGGAAAAATACCGATACGTCCCATTTCGATTCGGCAAAATTCCCTTTGGTGCGCCCAAACCACACCACCACCCCCCAAAGGAAGCTGAAAGCCCAAGCCCTCCTCCTTCTCGCAAAATTTACAATCTCTCACCCTTCGACCGCCTCAATTTCTCTCTACAATCTCTGTATCTCTCACACTCCAACACTCTCTCTCCTTGGCTCGCTGGAATTGTGAATGCAGAGCCCTGCCGTCCGATGACCTAGTTCTCCGGCGTCGGAGCATCCACTGGCCGTCAACAACGGGCGACCATTCCAATTCCGACCTCTGGGACTTTTATAGGGTTTTCGTAGCTGCTTTTGCGATTCGATTACGACGATTCAATTAGGGTTTTTCCTTTTGCTTCTAAGATTGCGGCGTCCACGCCATGGCTCCGGGGCGTAGACGCGGAGCGAGCAAGGCCAAGGATAAGAGCAAGTTGAGTCTCGGCGATCTTGTCCTTGCTAAGGTCAAGGGCTTCCCCTATTGGCCCGCCAAGGTCTGCTTTTTCATGCCCTTCCCTTTGTTTCGTTTACGGATTCTGCTGCTTCGTCTTCGGCTGTGCATTTTTTCGGTTTTTCCTTTCTCTTTATGTTGTGTTTTGGGCGTTGGGGTTTATATATATATATATATATATATATATATATATATGCTTTTGTTTTGCTTGTTGATTAGTGTGCACTACTTGGATTTGACTTCTCGTAGTATGTAATTATTAACAAATTTTCCTAAGCTTTCGGACTCGTGCAGTTACTGAATGGGACTGAACATTGTGAGGCTTCTCAGAAATCATGTATATCTTGCCCTTAACTTTGCAATATACCGAAAGGAATTGGATTGAACGTATATTGTTTTTGCTTTTTTATTTTTTTTTTTTTTCTTGGCGAATAAAATGTTAGATTCATGTGATGAATGTGTTGGTTTTTAAAATACAGTATCATGCTTTTCGCAGTATAAGTATGAGCACAAAATTGATGGACTATGTTTAATGTTTTTATTGATAAGAGTAACTCAGTCAGATTTTAGTCTACTCGACAATTGGTTTGTGTTTGAGGTAACTCTTGTGGGTTTGAATTTTTAGATTAGCAGGCCTGAAGATTGGAAGAAGGTCCCTGATCCAAAGAAATATTTTGTCCAATTTTTTGGAACGGAAGAGATGTAAGTTCATACCATTTGATAATTTCAGATTTGTTCATGTATATTGGATAAAGTTTGTTTGTGAAATGTGTTACGTGTACATTGAAATACCTCTTGTGCATGGAGTTTTCATAACAAGAAATAAGACACTAATATATTGACAACCTAGGGTGTAGATCACAGAAAGGTGAAATTGACAATTTTTTTGCAACGGAAGAGATGGAAGTATATCTCATTTGATAGTTTTGTATTCGTTTACGCAAGTGAATACAGTCTGCTGTCACATGTACATTTAACCACCTGTTATTACCCGGGCTTTTATGATTAAAAAAACACTAATATATAAACAGCCTACAGTGTACATACCGCAAGGTGAAAAGGACAACTTAGTCTACCAATTGTATTTAGCTGATTCATCCCTATCTAAGGCAAAATGTACTTCAAGATGCCATATGGAAACATGAAATGTATTGACCTTGGCATGTGTAGTTTGTTATATTTCCTCTCCACAATTTTGTGTTTCAAAGGAAAACTAGAACTCACTGAAACATTCAGTTATTGATTGTTAAATCTATTATTGCTTAGGATTGTCTTGTGACTTCTTGTGAATTCTTGTTCTACATTTGGTGGTACTTGTGGTTTTGATGTTATTCCTAGAAGCTTACAAGAACAAGATTGAAATTTCTGCCTGCATTTCTGTTTGTTTTGGTAGAGGAAAATTTAAGTGGTTAGGATTTCAAAAGTTGTAATATTGGATTTTGAATTAATAGTTTCTACTGGGGCAGAAAAGGGGCTAGTAAAATCTACTGATGCATTACGTAATGAAAATTTCAGGATGACATCTGAGGGAAATTATTTCCTACTCGATTACATTTTCACTAGTGAAATCTACATTTTGCACAACTAAAAAGAATTAGTCAGTTTTTTTCCTTTTTTTCTTTCTATCAATAAAATGTTATGGCGAGTGTCAACTGTGGTCTCCTTTATAATCTTGTACCCTTGTTCTCATTGAATTGAAAGTAAATATTAATTGGTTCTTAAATCTGGTAAGTATAGAACTTGATTCTTAATCTAAAACCACATTGAATTGCGTATAGAAACAAAAAAGAACCAGTGGAACCATTTAGACCAAATCTAGAGTCCACAATTCTTCCTTTTGTGGTTTTTTGCTCTGCTCAGTTTCTACTTCATCTATTTGTTTGTTTTTTGCTCTGCTGGTTAAACTGACTGCTACTGATATGTTATTCTTGTTGTTGTTTTCCCCACTCCACAGAGCTTTTGTTGCCCCTGCAGATATTCAGGCATTCACTAGTGAGGCAAAAAACAAATTATTAGGTCGTTGTCATGCTAAAACAAAGTATTTTTCCCAAGCTGTGAAGGACATATGTCAGGCATTTGACGAGTTACACAAAAAGAGGTCAAATGATTTGAGGGATGATACTGATAGATCAGACACCGGATGTGAGGCTCCATCTGGTGATGGCATAGAAGATAATGGGATTGATGTTGACTTAAAGGATGGGGAGGGTGTACGGGATTCCAATGGACAAACAGACAAGGAAGAAGGCATAGGTGATATTGGCCCTAAGCTGGAATGCTGTTCACAGGCACGAGGTGAAAATGATGATGACGATGTAAACCCATCTACCTCATGTGGAGCAAATGAGAGTTCTCAAGTTTTTTCTCCTGAGAGAAAAAATAAAATGGCTGCAGTTCCACCGCCTAAAAAAGAGGCATTAAAGAAATCTAATCCAGAGAATTCTTCTCATCCCAAGGAAGAAGTTTCTGGTAGTAAGCGTGAAGAAGATGATCGCACAAAGAAACGCAGTGATGGTCGGAGGTCTGTAGCAAATGGCCACAAGATGACGAAGATGGTTACTGGATCAAGGAGGAAGCATGGTGGCACAGTTGAGGAACAAAAAAATCGTTATGCTGTTACATCGTTGAAGGATGATAACTCAATTGGTCGTGTTGATCACCAACAATCTGGTGATCGATTAAAAGATGGAACAAAAGGCAAACTTGGCTCTGGTGGCAGGAAGAGGGAGTTCTCCCCAGATGCTCTAAAATCAGATACTAGTGGTAAGGTTGGGAAAAAGACAAAAGACCTGGTTAAAGCCAACAAGCAAGTCAAGTTGCCAGATAATGTGATAGATGATTCTGAGGAGCAGGCCAAAGACAAACATTCAGGAAGGACAAAGGGGGTTCAACCAGGGCTTGGAAAGCCTAATTTGGGAACAAATGATCCTTCACGTTGTTCCAAAAAGTCAAAACATGTAGATGCTGGGGATAGTGCTTCAAAGGGTTCGGTCTCTAAAGCTACGAAGAGTCTATCTCCTAGTTCTGATGTTGATGACAAGACATTAAAAATAATGGATTCAAATTTGTCAACTTCACATGTGAAAAGAGAGAACCATCTAGTTTCCATGTCCAAAAATGTTGGTGGTGGACCCAACGGTCCTGGTGATGAAGCCGCGCTACCCCTAACAAAGAGTCGCTGTCGAGCATTGGAGGCTATGCCTGATTCTGATACTTTGGTTAGTGACGATAAGAAGGAAGAGGATCCCGCTCTGAAGAATGATATATCATGCTCTACTGACGTTAGAGTTCCTACACAGAGGAAGCGGAGAGCTGTGTGCCTCTATGATGAGGAGGAGGAGGAGGAAAAACCCAAAACACCAGTTCATGGAGGATCTTCCCGAAATTTTAAAGCGTCTTCATATTCTGCAGACGCTGTAAAGAGCAATAATGAAAACCATGAGAGGTCAAATACTGCTCAACAGAGTACCAAATGTCCTACTGAATTTCAGATGAGCTGCACAAAGGAATCATCTTCCCAGTTATATGATGGTTTTCCATCACCTAGAAAACCTCAAGCGATGAGGAGAGGCCGGAAAAGAAACCTCAAATTGAGAAAAAGAGTCTTGAAAAGGTGGTGCATGTGTATCACAGTCCAAAAAAATCAGAACCTGGGCATTTGCTGTCCAAGGAGGAAAAACCAACCTTGATTTCTCCTAAGAAGTCTCCCCAGTTGGTTTCAACCACTAAACCAGTTGTGGAACAGCAGAAACCCACAAAATCTCTGGTTAAAATCTCTAGTACTGGTACTCAAAAGAAGGCTCAGGCTGTGTCTAGCAAGGGTTCAGGTTTATTGTCTAACAGTTCGGTTTCTTCTCATAACCAGGCAAGAAACAAGTCTGCACCTTCTGGAGAAAAGTCTAAACCTACTCCACGATCATTCCCTCAGATCAGCGACTCTGCTATTTTAACAGAAAATGAAGCCGAGTACATTTCATTATCTGGTGAAAGGTATCCATGCTCTTTCTTCTTAATTGTTTGCATAGTTGCTATTTGCATTTTCTAATGTTTGATAATTTGTTGCTTGTTTTCCTAATAACAGAATGGAAGTTGGCAGAGACGATAAAATTGGCATATCCATGGATTCTAGAACTCCGGAATCATCTCAGTCTATGAGGCATCTTATTGCAGTTGCACAAGCCAAAAGGAAACAAGCTCAGTCACAAAATTTTTTCCTTGGATTTTCCAGTTCCACTCTTGTGTCTAACTCAGATATGCAAGGGAGGAGCCCCAGCCCTTCTGCAGTTCAGGGTTTTTTGTCCATTTCTAGCACTGCATTGCAGGCAGATATCTCGGGGTCCAATCAACTCACAAATGTAGCTTCCCCGGTTACTCATGGTCGACAATATGTATCACAAATTCAACTTGATTTGGAGGAAATCTCAGAAAGAAGAGTTAGCTCTGGGCATCGAACTGCTGGAGGATCACTTAGTGGTGGTACCGAGGCAGCTGTTGCTCGTGATGCTTTTGAGGGAATGATAGAGACTTTGTCTAGGACTAAAGAAAGTATTAGTCGTGCAACTCGTCTTGCCATTGATTGTGCCAAGTATGGTATTGCCAATGAGGTAGGCTCTTTGGCTCGTTCTTGTTTCTTTTAGCTTTTATTTGTTTTATTCTTTTCAAAGATGATTACAATTTCATTGATACAATATTTTCCTTTATATTTCATTCATCACTTTATGAGTTTTTCAATATCTTATATTAATTTGAAAGCATTTCCTTATGTTTGGTGGATGTCATGTTTATAATTTGTAATATATGTTCATTACATGTGTCAGTGTACATTTATATGTTAAAAAATAAGCTCAAAATAGTCCTGTAGTGAAAATGTTGATTTTCTATACTAACAACCATTCATCTTGAGTCTGCAAATGTTTTAATACCATAAAAGTTGAAAGATCAGATGGGTGAGAGTTAGGCCGAGTGAAAAAAGTTTGGGTTTTAATTCTTGTAAACTTTGTAAGTTTTCGTTTCACCCAGAGCCATTACGCAGGTCCTTTTGAGTTTTAAATCCCTTGTCCACACCTACCATAACAAATTAACAGTTAGTTGTCCTTTCTGTTCTACAATTTTAACTTATGTTGAGAAAAAGAAAGCTTCAAATAGCAGTTCGCACATTCCTTTGGGTTGCAAATCTAGATTTTGTAATGTGTGTGAAGTTTGCAAATGAAGTTGGGTGATTATTTAAAACTGCTTATGCTGACCAATAAATACATGTTTTCGGAGTTTTGCAGTATATCTCACAAAATCGAAGATTATTATAGCGTACAACCATGATGTGGATTTGTAGACTATTTTAGTTACAATTTAAAATGTTGATGCAGGTTGTGGAACTACTAATCCGGAAGTTGGAGAGTGAGCCTAGTTTCCATCGTAAGGTCGATCTTTTCTTTCTTGTGGATTCCATCACACAAATCTCGCATAATCAAAAAGGTACATGTAATAATCTCTCTCTCTCTCTCTCTCTCTCTCTCTTGATTGCTGGATTGTGACTTGTGCGTGCCTGATATGTTAGTTCATTGTGAAAATATTAAAGGTAGCTATTTATTTATTGATATTCAGGCATTGCGGGAGCTTCATATGTTCCAACGGTTCAAGCAGCATTGCCACGTCTTCTCGGTGCTGCCGCTCCACCTGGTTCTGGTGCTCGTGATAATCGTCGTCAATGTCTTAAGGTAAGTGCATTGCTTTATAATTTGATGAGTTTTTCTTGTATACGAGATAAAGCGGAACAGACTTCTCTTCCAGGTTTTACGGCTGTGGATTGAGAGAAAAATCTTTCCTGAGTCTGTTCTTCGTCGTTACATGGATGACATTGGAGTTTCAAACGATGATTCAATTGCTGGTTTCTCCTTTAGACGTCCATCTCGAGCTGAGCGTGCTATAGATGACCCAATCAGAGAAATGGAAGGAATGTTTGTGGATGAGTATGGCAGGTATTTGATATCAACTTTTTACTTGAATTCTTATAGTTGTGCCTTATTCTTCTTTTGTTCTATTAAGCCGATTTTTTTTGTCCAGACATGACTATAAGATTCTGTTTGTTATTGTTGCTTGAAGTAACTTAAATGTGGTTATGGAACTCAAATCCAATCTCAATGTCATGTTTAATTCGGAAAACCATTATACTTGGACATGACTGTGTAAGGATGCGATGAATATATCTTTCCCATATTTTATGTACATGCAATTCAAGGAATTTTTGTTTAATTATTTATTTATTAGATGCAGTTGAAGGATTCAAATGTTACTGCATGGAAAATCAATGATTTCTTTTCTTCGTAAAATATACTGTTATAATTCTTGTTTGGTCATGTTTTGAAATTACATTTATTGTTTTTCCATGAAGTATTCCCCAAATGAAAATTGCATGATAGTACTGTTCAGAGGAGAAAATAAATAAGGAGTATCTGGTTTGCTCAGCGAACAAGTGTTTGTTTTAGGGGAACACTTGTTGCAACTTGCAATGATCTTGTTCGATTACTGGTTCAAGTTATGTGAAATTGTACTTAAAGATCTGTTGTTATGAAAATGCTTCTATTATTTTTACGTCTATGTTGTTGCATGCACTTACTGGAATCTAATTTGTGTAGTTGTTTTTTGCCTCTTTGTCAGTAACGCTACATTTCAGCTGCCTGGATTTTTGTCCTCTCATGCATTTGAAGATGATGAAGAAGAAGAAGAACTTCCTAGCTGTTCATATAAGGAGGCTAGCCATTCCTCACCAATGGAAACTATTTATGCTTCTGGGGAGTCAGAAACATGTGCGGTGACTCCTAATGATAGGCCAGAAACATGTGCGGTGACGCCTAATGATAGGCGACACTGTATCTTGGAGGATGTAGATGGTGAACTTGAAATGGAGGATGTGTCTGGACACCCAAAGGATGAAAGACCCTTGTTCAGTAATGGTTCTTTTGAATTGGATCCACAACAGCAGGGATCAGATAGGGTCATGGAACCGGCTTCAATTGCTTGCACTGATTTGCCCCCTGTTCCAGAGGGTTCTCCACCATTGCCTCTTGATTCTCCTCCTGCAACCCCACCTTTGCCTCCCTCACCCCCACCCCCACCACCTCCACTTCTGTTATCTCCTTCCCCACCACCACCGCCACCGCCTCTACCATTACAGCCACCTCCTCCCCTACCGTCTTCTGGTCATCAACCATTATTGATTCCTCAGTCATCTGTGCCAACTCAGGCTTCTTTGCTATCCCAACAGATGCTGCCTCTGCAATCATCAATGCATCCTTCACCGCTGGTGGCATATCAACCTCCTATGCCTCATGAATACTGCAGCACGAGTGTAAGAATTCTTGCTTTCCCCACCTTTATCAGTGCTACATTGTTATTGTTGTATATATTATGACATTATTTCTCCATACAGGGTAACCAGCATGTCCAAATTGCTGGAAATGCTCCTCATGTTGGCCCTATTGATGCGACTGCCAAGAGCGAGATGTTTCCGCAGCAGCAAGCTTGCTTTGTTCCTGCAGGAGTATGTGGTCCTCGAGAACCTTCTGGATTTAATTCAACTAGGCCGCTAGAACATGGACATAATGACATGTTTCAAAGTGCACAAGTCTCTCAAGCAAGCCAACAATTTCAACAAGTTATTACACCTTTTCCTCAAAGGCCTTTACCTCCTGCCCCACCACAAAATCCCTCAAGTCATTTCTCCTATACTAAGCAACATCCTCATCAACATCCTCAACAACCATACCACGGTCCATACTCTTTGCCTCCCCCACCTGATAATCAAAGACGATTCGTTGCCGATGAACAACGAGGCGTTTGGATGAATGGAGGAAGACCCCCACATCCGGGACCACCATTTGGCCATGAAGGTATAGGGTTCTGGTCCTGGTGGCCAAGCTATCCATTAAGCAGTTGCCTGCAATAGTGTATAATGTTGTTATTTCCATGCACCCAACCCATTTTCGCACCTACCATATAACTAAAGTATAGATTACAGATCAATATAAGGTGGGTGGGAATAGTAGCACTCAAGGAACTGGAATTTCTGCCCGTATTATTATTTAAACTCATTTTCTCTTTGAGGCTAGAAAATCATATCATGGACGCTCAGTTGTACTAATAGTTTATTAGTGTTTTTATCTAATGTTTTAGTTGCAATGACCAATGTGTCCTATGCCTAATTTGCGCTACCCTAGGCATCTCTACTTATGTTATGTTTGGTTCTGCTATGACAGGTTATTTTCGGCCACCGCCTGATAGGCCGCAACCTAATAATATGGCTTTTCAGCGTTCTGCCCCCAATAATGTTCCAACTGGAGCTCCAATATCAGGTGATCATTACGTAAACTTGTTTTGAAGTGTACTTGCATGTTGAAAACACTGGGTCATTGTTGCAGTGATAAAATGACTTTCTGTCTGCACTTTTCCAGGTCATAGTGCTGCCCAGATCTTGCCATGTAGACCAGACATAACTGCTGTTAATTGTTGGAGACCAGCTTAGTAGTGAAACTTATCCCTACATAACTATTCTTGTAAGTTATTTTTCTTTGTTCAGTATTTAAGTTTTTTGTAGCTCATGCACTTCTCTGAATGGCTTAATTCTACAACACTTTAGTTGATTTATTCCTCATTGAAACCTCTGTTAATTTAAATCAATGGAGACCTCTTGTGCTACTTATTTTTTGAGAATTGAGTCCACGATCCTTTAATCAGAATCATCTCAATGATTTCATGAGATTCTTCATCCTTGACTCTATTTCTGCAAGTTTGTGTGCTGCATTTTGAACTGCATTATTCAAACTGTTTCCATGATGGCTTAGATTTATAATTCTCTCTCTGGGTGATAAATCCATTTATTTTCTGCAATTTGTTTCAGACTTGATGGTGGCATATCAATTAGTTACATCACATTATGCTGTCCTTCAAAGTTGGGTTCATCTTGTTTACGAAACCCAAGTACCACTTGAAGTCAGTGTTGGGGACATGTAGAGGCTCCTGGCAGGACTCTGTATATTGTAATTTTTCCTGACAAATATATCCCGAGAACATTTGCTTCCAAGTTTATGCCCATGTTTCTTTCTTGGTTAGTACACTTGTTTCTTAAGCTTTTAAATGATGTAATTATACCTGATATCAAAATAGATAGAAATCAATTCAATGCACCGATTTTTATCCCTTGATGAATTTATTTTGTTATTACCTTGGTTGCATCGTAAAACGCATTGTCCTCCCAGTCGGTTCAATTTGTGTTCCTTACTCCACTCGGATGAACATGTCCTTGATTGGGCTTGCATCTATTAGACAGTCAAAGATATTTGTCCTCCCCACTCTTGGATGGGTCCTGGTATTTCCAAGTTAGGTGAGATTGAGTGTGTGGTTTGTCTTAATATTGCATGTTGCTACGTTTCGGCATATGCTGAGGGTTAAGTGCTCTCTTAAAAGATAAGTTTTTTGTTGGAATTGCGGTAATCACATTTTGGGATGTCATTCAATGCCCAAGAGAAACTTGTTGTTGAGTTCATGCATCATAGAGAAATTTTCCTTTTTCTTTATAGAATCACTTTAATCTGTTGCCTTTTCAGGTTTACACGTTCTTTCAGTTATTTTAAGTTTTGGTTAAGGTGAGAGGGGACCAATTTATTGGTATATTTTGAAAGAGCATGCATGGTTATTATCTGGTTTGTTCCTAAGATATTACCAATGTCTTTCACGATCCTGACAGTGCACTTGGAATCCCTCAAAGAATGTATATTTGGGTTGTGCATTCTTCTTTTTAAATCTTATGTCACATTTTTTTTGTCAATTGTAAATGATAGCCCTTTTGTGATAACATTTTAGGTTGAATTAGCCTGTGAAACTTTGATGAAAATTACAATTTCTACTGTTAAGGGAGTTTTGCTAGACGATTGGAGAGTCCAGTTTACAATCAACCAGCCATTATCATTTGTCACATTTTGAATGTGGGAATATACTTTTCACTATTATATGATATTGCGAGCTTCAGCGAGTAGAACCAAGTATCATCACTGCAACCTTGACTGTAAAGCCAGAATTTGAGTTATATATAAATGGATATTTTTGTGAATTCTTCTGTTGAAAGTGAAAGATCAACTAACGGACCCTATAAGTTTTATCTGACTCATTGTGGTAGAGGCACATCTCAGTCGCATCTTTCACTCTACATCTTCTGGTTCATTTAAATGGCAGAGATATCATTGTTTATTTTAGCGTGTGCTGTCCGATACATGTTTTGCATATTTATTTTACAATTGCTGTTGCTACATGTTGATAATCTGCCACTTATCAAAACAAAAAGTTAATTGGGTAATGCGTGGTATTGTATGTGTGGCTCACTTTGTGCATTCAGTACAGTACGGAGTTGCTTGTTAACACATTTTGTGCCAAATCAGCTGCTATGGTAGTGTGTAGAATGTTTTCCTAGATTTTTGCACATGAAGAATTCTCCTTTGTTTCGATTTCTTAGCTCCTTTATGTTTTTTTTTTGGTCTCAATAAAAGTGAGAGCTATGTGAGGGCCATGCATGTTTGTATTTATTTTGGAATGTTTAGTTCTAAGAACCTGTTAACTCTAGCCTTTCCAATCATTTCACTCTGGTGGAGTGTTGCAAGATCTTTTTTATGTGAGACTGTCTTGTGGAGCTTTTACTTTTCCCTTTGAAATTTGTTTCTAATGGGGATTTAGTTTGGAATGACGTCATAACTATGCATTCTGTCACAGGTTTCGGCGAAGATTAAAACAGAAGTAGCAACCACGTTTTTGGGGCTGTTTCTATCTGGTCTCTCACAGAGGAAAAGGAATCCGACTCCGTAGCATATGCACTGCTGTAAAACATTCAGGTAAATATTTGACATGGATTTTTGGACCAAGAAAAGGCTCATCATAATTATTTGTTAGTTGAGTACAGTTTTGATGCAACAGTATCTGTTGCAATGTAAAGAAAGGTAGTTCGTACAGATGCCTATTAACTGTTAAAAAGTTTTATTCCTCAGTTTTTATACATTGCTTTGTACCCACTGAGATAGTTCTTTTAATCTGTAAAGATCCTAGGTTTTTTTTTTTTTTCTTTATTATTGCTCGTCTTTTTCTCGTCATTTTGTGTTGCACTTTTGATTTATTTTGGATTTGGTTTGAATTTTTTTGTTTGTTATTTGATCATTCGCCCGAGATTGGCTGAAACCACCCCCTACAAAAAAAAAAAAAAAAAATTGCAGCACTCTGTTTTTTCAGTTGTTCGTCGCCAACTTTTATTGTTTAAAATCTTTATTTCCACTGGCAGTTGGAGCTCATTCTTCTTTGGACTTGAGGTCATGTGTTAAGCTGGGTATGTTAAATCAGTCTTGTAAACCTCTAGGTGCAAATTAGTGTTCTCTCACTCCCAAACAGTGCAACTGTCTTTTTGGAAGGGTTGTTGTCGATGTGTTTCGAGCTCATTCATATGCTTAACTCGTATTTCATTAAGTTTTATTTTTCTGTTCTCGATGGTTTTCCTTGTTCGTTTACTCCTGTCCAAAACGAATAGATAGTTTAAATAAACTGCAAATGCTCGAGCATTCTATTTGCACGAGGCTCAGCTTGAGGTAACCCTGACTAAACTAAACTAAAGGTTGTTTTAACAGGAGCGTTGGGAACAAATTGAATAACTGCTGAAACGAGATTATACATCATCGTAACCCATCAGAAAACAAAATGGAGAGAATTAAATAAAGAAGCAAAAGAATTACCAAGTATAATCAATGTATGAACAAATTGTTCCAGAAACCTAAGGAATGACTATAGCAATCTACATCCTCTATAATGTGCCGCAATGGTTACAAGTTTGTCTAACAAATTATCTAGTATTGTATTCTTCAATCTGCACATGAAATCGGTTGCTCCGCTCAATCGTTCATCCGCCGGCTTGGGCCGGTATCCTGGTACCTCAATGATTAAGGATATAGAATGTTATTCAACTCTCGTCCCGATTTCTTGTTTCTTTGTACTTACCAGTTGAATGCTTGCTGGTAATGAATGATGGATGATGCGAAAAATATGGATCAAATCGGCAATGATAGTATAATCAAGTGAATTAGTCAAGTGCAGTTTTTCTTCGACCTGCTATCGGTTTAGGCAAACCATCAAATATTGGTTTCGCAATTGCTGCAGTTGAAAAGGCTTGTAAGTCTGGCTTCAAACTCCACTTAGATGTTGACCAGATGGATGCAGAGCCGCTACTCTCGTGATCCTGCAAATTTGATGTGCTTGACGACTTCCTCACTCCAAATAACCCATCTGCTGTGAGAGAATCACCCATACCTACTTGTATAGGATTCAAGCCACCAGCTTCAACATCGTTTCCTAAAGCAGTTCTATTAGCTGCTGTGGGTCTAAGGGCTAAGCGCTGCCCTGAAATTGCTGAAAACCCGGCACTGCTGGCACTGCCGCTGTTACCTCCCAAAAGCTTCTCAGGGGTGCGAGAGAAGTCTGCTTCAGATTTCTGACGCCTTCTAATCCATTTATCCCCCAATGGATCAGGGTCACCTTCTGCAGACATGGAATCAGAAAGTTCACTATTCTCATCCAACTTAACTAGGCTCCTTGACTTTCGATATTGTCTCAATGGTTGGTCAGAAGCTGGTGAGGCTCCAAGGAATGGTCCCTCTTCTAAATAATGGGAACCTCCATTTTTGTAGACTGCCATTTCAAAACCTTCAGTTATAGAGTTCTGATTTCTTGGTTTCAGCCCGTAATAACTTTGTAATGAGTTCATAGCCGGGGAGGGTTTCTTCGGAGGAGTAACTCTAAGGGACCCGAATGAGTCAACCAGATCACACTGTATGCTGCGAGTTGGGTTCTGGTCAGAACTAGTCTGGCTGCATAAGCAAGTGTTAAAGTGGTAAGCCACAAATGAACCACAAGCAAAACACGGTACGAATCATTCCATGACTCGAATCTTAAGCAATATTTAAAGACTAAGGACAACCCACAAACTTTAGTTGTTCAATTCACCGAGATAAAATTGACTTGTATATATACATCTTCTTGACATGTTATCTACAAAGATTAGACCACAATCACCTAAAAATGCATTCCCAAAAATGATAAAACTTCGCGATCGAGGCTGCCCCCATTCAAGAAAGAAGCAACATCTGGAATGTGACACAATAGGTGCAGATTAATATGACAATCTGATTCAGAAGTGCAATTCCTAACAATAGGGGTACATCCCACTACTCCCTGAACCGACCTTATGCTTCACTTCCTTTTGGGGAAGAACTAGAGGTGTATTATGTTTAGGGATACAACTTTGACATAATGATATCTGCAGCTACCGTAAACAAGTTTCCGGAACAAAAGTCCCATAACCAAACAAATTAAGAGTAGAGACATATAATTACCCTGGAGTCTTGGAACCATCTGATAAACATGGGGATGGAGGATGCCTCCCCGGTAGTGGAATCTGAAGAAACCGGAGGCCAAACATTTGGCGATCTGTAACAAGGCCGTTCATCTTTTTGATGTCGGCCACCTACAATATCACCAAAACACCGATTATTTTCGACAAAAAGCTTGATAATCGAACAAGCAAACGAACAAAATCAGCCTGATATTAGGCTGGGAAACAAACACACACATTTCCAATATATCTGAAAACACAATGCCCCTTTGGAAGCAAAAAGAACATTAAAACTCAAAACAATTATTCGCATTACCAATTTTCCGTTGACTACGTCAGCTATGAACCTCAAACATTTCTCAGAATCCAGCGAATATTTGATTAACCAACAAAAAGGGACACAGAAAACAAGAAATTCAAAACAGTAATTGAAGCAGACGAAGTCCAAAATTAACATGTATTTGGAGAAATGCGAAAAATCAAAAGTGAAGATGAGGAAATGGAAATGGTACCTCAACGCCGTATTTGATGGCGACGCCAGCAAGCGTGTCGAACTTGGAAACGACGTGTTCTATATACGCTGCTCCACCGCCTCCGCCACCTACCAAAGCGGGAGAGGTAGACCGCGGCGGCGACGAAACAGGGAGAAAAGGGGAAGACGAGAAGAAGAAGCCAACATTGGATTGCTGTTGGAGTTATTGTATCGGTTATGCAAAGAGGACGAAATCATCTGATCCGCATGACTAGAACAAAACTCGCTTTCCATCAGCATACCTTCTTCCCCCATTCACTTTCACTTTCACTTTCACAATCCGATTCCCTCCCGATCATAACTCATCCCTCTCCATTACAAGTACATGTACGAATCTGAGAGCGATCGACATCGTTCGATCCGCGGCGATAACCGGAACCCCAACGCTGACGAGAGATGTAATTGATTGGAATTTGATTGATTCAACACCAATCGAATCAACCTGATGAATTCGAATGTGTCTTCCAAATGCAGCGTGCGATTTGTTCAATGCTTCGTTGGGTACAGAAATTGAATCTCGAATGGATATGATGATATGAAACGTTCTTCTGCCTCCTCCTCCTCCTCCCTTCTTCTCTGAAATTTTGAGTCCCTCTTTTCCTCTTTCCGTTTTTACCTTCTCTCTCCCTCCCTCTGATTTCTCTCTCTCAAAATTTAAAGATTAAGGATTAAGGATGACGTCACCCCACAACCAGGCTATGATTATTATTTTTTAATTAATAATATTTTGGATGTTATTTATACTTTTTAATTTGTCTCCTAAATTTGTAAATGGGAATTTTGTTTTGGTTTTAACCCAATTTCCGTTACAACTGGCAGAGAGACTCCCTCCTAATTCCATTTTTCTGTTTTTTTTCTGTTTTTGTTATGCCATGTTGTTTTACCTGACATCGGGGAGAGCGGTGGTTAAAATATCAGAAAATTTAATAAATGAAAAGTAATAATTAAGTGATTTTTTGAAATTCAATGTGTATTTAATAACGATTTTAAGGTAGTTTATTAAAATCTTTAGAAATTCGGATGTATTCAATTAAAATTTTAAAAAATTTATAACATTCAAAGTGCATTCAATTAGAATTTAAGAGTTTAGTCCAAAACCGAGCTCAATTATTCAAATGGCCACTGTGCTTTGTTGACCTTTCATTTCATTGAGCCAACGTAAATCAAGGAATACTGCGGCTTTGTTCTCATCATTTCCTTTCAGAACGTCAAACCGGAGAAGATGGTTAGACCATGTTTTTGCCTTATAATGCCAAAAATAATTTACATAAAACGAGTTTATCTTTATGCAACGTGTCCATCTATGTTAGTTGCTTTCAGGGTCAAACATTTTGGACAAGTAAAAAGGTTTGCCTAATTTTTTCCGCAAAGTCAAAGCCTAGTGCTTTCTTATCAAATTTGTAGCATTGATGGTTGTCTAAAGTTGCATTCGGGACGACATGAAAGGATGATGTATAACTGCCTAACCCTGCTTCTAGTCTACTGTTACCGGTCCGTCTACGTTGACGATGGCGCTAATTGCTCTCATCATTTAGTTCCCGTTGCCGGCAACCTAACTCCAATTTCATTGTCACTACCTAATTCCGAATTTGTTCATAATTTATTGTCTGCCTACCTCTACTCAGCCTAACGAGAGATTTTTTAATGTGACCGGTATATAGGATAGTACATCACATGTCACTTCTAGTAAAATACATGATGTACCACTTATGTTCCCGTCACAATGAAAAATTTCTCCTAAGTAACAAGGCAACAGAAAAACATATATATAAAACTGCTTAGTTTCAAGTCCACACTATCATTCTCAACACTAACCATAAAAACTCTCTGCATATCATAACATAGGTGGAGACACAAGATAACGACATGGACATCGCTTCTTTTTTTGCAGAGTCCATATGACGGACGATTGATTTTTGACGTGCTTCATCTTCATGTAACTAATGTGATACAATAAAACGACTTAAGCCAGCGAACCTCATCATCTTGTGTCCCTAACATTGGTTTATCATCGCCACATGAACCATCAGTCAGGCCATCTCTTCTGGCTGCTTAAACTGATGAGTAAATAGAGAATAAAAAGTAAAAACCACACGTTACATAACGTAATAAGAGAGCTAATAGAGAGGAAATCTACATTAATTAGCACAGAAATAGAAACACTTGTTATGCTCTATTACACAACGCACCATAAGCGTGTTCATACGCTTTATCTACTCTACTGTTACTCTCTAAGGTGGTTGCATCTCTCGTACCAAAATCGTTGTAGATGTGACACCAATGGAAAAAAAAAAAACCGGCATTACACCTTTTTTATGGAAAATATGATCCGAATGCAGCTCAACCCCCGCTGGACTCCCAATAAACTCATTAGGAAGTCTCTTCATAATAGTTAGTCTCAGTATCTTGCCGGTGTTACAAGCCTTCTAAGCCACAGGGATGTTAGGTTCGTTTAAATTCACAAAGGCCTCAGCTCGAGCCATGCGTGCCATTGCCGCATTCCAAGACACAAGATGGTTCACAAACGCATCCACGTACTTTCCTCTGTCATTCTGTTAACAAGTTACCCAAAGACATTAAAAATTAGGGCCAGCCAGTGGAAACTAAATGAAGTTTGATACCAGTGCATACCTTGTAATCCAGATAATAAGCATGCTGCAAGAAAGAAAGCAAAAAGAAAAAATATTAGCATGTTCCCACAAGAGAGAGAGCGAGAGAGGGAGGGTAGGAAAAAGAGTAGCGAGAGAGATCATTTACGCACCTCCCACAGATCCAAACTGATTATAGGCTGCAGAATAAGAGATGATTAATTAAACTGCTGAAATAAATGTCACAACAAAATTGGGAAAATTGATTTACTTACTACGTCACCCCAAACAATTGGGCAAATGGCATTTGAAGTTTTAATTATCTGAAGTCGTCTCTCTTCTCTCTTTACTGAGAAAATGAAACAATAAAAATTATCGGTAACCAGAGGAGTTAATTAGCAAAACAAGGTCACAATTAGTACAGAAACTTAGTGCTGGTGAACTCTAAAAAAATTAATGTAACTGAGTTTGAGATTACCCAATCATGAATATGAGAAAAATTCATTCTTCGAAATCCCAAACACATTAACTCACACAGGTTCAGAAATTAACATGAGGAAGGACTTACAAACAAGCCAAACCCAGCCAGACCCAAATAGTGTAAGTGCTGCTTCTGTAAACTTCTCTCTGAAATTAGTAAAGGAACCAAAATCCTTTTCTATCTGCTGAAGGACACCCAGTTGGGGCATGTCTCCTCCTCCCGGTTGCATGGACTCCCAAAAGAAGTCATGATTCCAGACCTACAACGATAAAGTCAAAGGATCTCGTCTCATAATCCCCAAATTAGACATGGAACAAAGTTTCCTTGTTGCATATCCCTTTACGCAACAGGTCTCCTGTTTGAAACATTATTCATGTTATGTCCAAAACTGGACTTCAAGTTTGTGATTCCTAGTCTTAAATCAGTATGACACTGCACTAAACCTTTAGGAATAACCAATCAGGAAAACTAAAAATTTGAACAAGCTTAAGACACAGTTCTGCTTCAGGCTACAGGATCATATCATATATTGTCCGGTGGTAGTACATTTGAACCTAAGATAGTCAAGCATGTAACAGCCTGTGGCTAAACGTTTCATATCTTTGATCAGTGACCCCTATGCAAGCTCATTGATAGCATTTAAAAATGATCTAGTCAAGAAAAGTATACAAATTAGCTAACGATTTTGTAGATACCTGAGCAGCGTTCTTAAATTCAGGTAAAGGATTCCCATTATTATATGTTGCTTTGACAAGTTCATCAAAAGTGCAGCCATATAGTATGTCACTCTTCTCTAGCTGTTTGTTCAGACCTTCCACATAGTTTCGATGATGGCCTCCCCAGTGAACTTCCAATGTTCTCTGACTCATATACGGCTCCAAAGCATCCTGAAAATAGAAACACTGACAGTTCAGTCAAGGAAGATCATATGCCTATCGTACTTATAATATAATTACACGAATCTGTATCATCATGTGACAAGAATAAGAAACTCAGACACCGAATACTAATATGTACCCAAAAAGATTTACACCGCGAGATGGATAACCGCCACAAGTGAGGGCTTCATAGAATCAAATGCTACACCACACGGACTTGAGAAACCAAACAATGACATACTAAAGTATCTTGCAAATCGAATCACGTTATAAGACATTGACAAAGAAAGGCAAATAGGAACCCGAAAAACTTGTATTCTTCATGCACACCTAATGTGAGACTAGAAGCTGACTTCGCCAACCCCATTTCACGTCCCGGAAATTGGTTTAGCAAGATGAGAAAGTAGTTGACTTACAAGTTTATAAGGAGGTTTCTTCAATCCATAGTAAGCAACAACTCTAGCAGCTCTTGGAGACCCATCGGCTTGTCTTTTCTGCTGAACAAATAACCGCATATCATAGCGCAACCGAATACATGAATACATTACAACTTACAAGGGAAAATAAACACAAAGGAAATTACAGCAAATTAATAAAAAAATATAGCAAAGAACACAATAATTACGTACCAGAGGAGGAAGCCGGGGACTCTTAAAAGAGTGAGAAAATTCATTCAATAAAAGGTGAGAGGTTGGAGCTGAAAGACTGGATAAACAGAGTATCATTGCTGCTTTGATTGCTTCTCTCGCACTCAAATATGCATGTCTGCGAGATTACGACATTTTATTAAAAATAAATTAAACAAAATTTGAGGGCTGACATGCTTGAACAGAGAGAGAGAGAGAGACCTTGGTAGTTGGTGTTGCTGAGCAGCGGCGTCCGGTGGGTTGGGTGAGGTTTTCTAATTCCCGCTACAAGTATAATAAGAGTGACAAGTGACAACTGGGGAAGAAAGGGGGTTATCGTTTCGTCTGCAGTTTCTAATATTTGTTTGCTTTTTAGTCCTCTTGTCATTGCTAATTTCATTCGGACCAGATCAATCGTTGTTCTTTGCACTCCTGTCCAAAACCGAAGGAAAATCGAGAACCACATAGCAAAATAGATTTACGAAAAATTATCATCTGTACCACTGTTTCTTTTAACAAGATTAAAGGTACAACTACAAAGATTTTGGGAAAAATATGTTTTCACTTATCCACTTTCGATTTTGTTACGTTTTTCTTTCGTCGCTTGACCATTTCACCAGATTTTCCTTGTATACCTTTGTCATTTAAAAAATAAAAATTGATATTATCTATATTTTAAAACTTCTTGGTCAATGTTCATGATGCACGTTAGCACCCTTCGAAGATGCTCTGCCCAACACAAATCCTTTTTAGATTATTCGTTATTTTACCCAAAAAGAGACCTTTTTTTAAATAAAAAAATTCAAAATTCAATAGAAAAATATTTATGTAACTGAATAGATGGTTACCCATGGATTTATAAAAATTGGCTGCCGACAATGTTTGTCTATTGACGTTTCGTCCAGCCTAGGAAACCAAATAGATGGCTTTGAAATGGCTTATACAAATTCTCTTACTATGAAGGTGTAAAAAATATTGCCAAGATCTGTCCGTGGATGGTAATAATTTACAGAAAAATTACAATATCAAATGCATGAGGCATTGACCCTTCTTCATCCAATATCAAATACATAAAATATGATCGATCGTATATGTGTTACATCACCACTACAAAATTGACCTGCATAAATGCACATGTTAATAAAACGACTCTAAACGACGAGATGACATATCTTAAGAATGCCCAAGAGATGTGTAGATTAAACCTTTATCCAAGATACCGAAGCAAGACCCCGTCATTCCCCAGCACAAATCCTTTATTGTCATCAATAAACCTGCACCGGTATAGATATTATAACACTAAGTTTCAGTATTCCGAATACATTGAAAAATCTCTTCCAGTAAATAAGATCAATACAATGAAATACCATATTCATGGAGAAACTTTTGGAAAGATCAGACTTACTTCACGGAGTATAGATTGGCTGCAATATTATCCGCTGCCTTGTCACGGGTCCATGTCTTACCACCATTGGTAGTTTGCAGTAAAATCCCACTTCCCCCTGCTGCCCAAGCCTCATCCTGCATGTTTAGTCACTAAACATGTAAAAACTGAGTGAGAAGTTTACACTAGACAACGACTTGAATGGTAAAATCGTTACCCTTGATCGGTACCCAACATCAAGAATGCCAAACCCCCGGCTTTGGACTGGAACTTCTTCAAAATCCTCAGTTAACTGAAACAATAAGCAATAGCTTAGCTTCTATGCTATGAGAGTAACAAGGTTACAGGGTGAATTCTTCTTGCATGATAAGTTTACAGGGCAAAACAGTATTTACTTACCCCAGTACCTTTGCTTAGATAAAGTCCCCCTCCACGAACAAGGAGCCAAAGGCCACCATCAGCTCTCCACCCCATGTTTTGAATTCTTCTTGCAACTGTTCTGTTATGTGGCTGCCAGTATGGCTGAAAATATAAACAAGGCAATGAATCACAGACTTCACAGTTAACATGAGTGCATGAGCATATCCCATCAACTTAATGCATCTAAATTTTCAGGGGGTAAAAGATAAAACACAGTGATTAGACAGAAGGAAAAGGCCATATTGCATAGAAGAGGAGAAACTCACCTGGCCAGGCTCCCAAGTGAGGTAGAAGTTACCACGGCTTGAGACAGCAACATATTTTCCATCGGGTGAGCGATTCACTGAATTAAAAGTTCCAGTGTAGTAACTTGCACCACTAATTCCACTAGAAACTGTTCTGAAAAAGCAATGGAGATGCATGAAACTTGATGCCTTTATATCATCAATAAAGGAGTAACCAGCTTCAACAAGATGAAAATTTGAGGAAAACTAGAAGAAACCATCACAGATCTTCACGACATATGCGAAATTTTTGAACTTTGAAATATTTTGACCTCCTTCCAAGATTATCTAGTTATTTACTATAAAATTTTGGAAGCAACATACCTATTAAGAGTAGCGGAAACAGTCTCCTGAACAGCAGCCCTCCAGTTGTAGCCTCTATTTGATGTCACATAAATCGCACCTTCATCAGTCACCATCTCTGCACTCTTCTCACCAGTTGCCTTTATATACACCTGGAAACGTTACATCAGATTGACTTATCTCAGCTTATCTATATCCATACGGAAAGCAATGTTGATTACTTCATCCAATGTTTTGATTACTTAGTAAGAAACCTGCACCACCAAGATAATAAGATATCACTTAAACTGCACTAGAATCATGCAAAGAAGGGATATTTGAGATTAAATGAGTAATAGAAAGGTTTACCATATCTCCAGGAAGCTGAGAGCTTAGCGGTATCCGTTCCCAGCTGTCTCCGGAATCAGAAGTGTGCAACAGAATTGCAGGTTTTCCAACAATCCAACCCTCCTTCCCTTTGAAGCTTATGGCATTGAATCTGTAATTGAAATCTTCATCTTCCGCTGACGGAATCGAACGCGGAACCCAAGTTTCTCCGCCATCCTTCGTCTCCAAAAGGGTTTGCCTGGTCCCCAAAAGAAAACCTACCCACAGAAATTAAACAACAACTACTCAAAATTAATTCCCTGAATTAATTCCAACTAAAAATGAATTTTAGCACTTAATGAACAGTACTCATTATTTCTTGCATAGATTTTCTGAGGAAGCCAAACAACAAATTGTAGAGACAGAGAGACAGAGTGGATTTACCGTGCTTAGGGTCCTCGGGCACAAAGGCAATGTCGAGAAGGACGACGCCGGGGTCAATAGGAAGGGAAACTTTTTCCCACTCCGAAAGGGTGGGATCCTCCGCCTTGGCCGGAAGTATGGATCCAAAGAGTGGCAGAGTGGTGATGGACAGAGACAGCACCGCCGTCTCGGAAACGAAGTGCCTGCGACTGACGAGCGAAGAATCAGAAGACGAAGAGGAGGAGGAAGCTCGACGTATAGATAGAGAGGTCCGGAAATGGCGAGGAATGGTTGTGAACTCGAGAGAGGGTTTGAGGAGAACTGTGCGTTTGGAGAAGTCCGTCGTCAGTTGCAGAGCAGTCGCCATTTTCATGCTCTCTGTCTCTCGAGTCCGCTTATCTCTCTTATCCGTAAGAAATATCCACGGTTTCGCGGGTGATTATGTGGATTGTCCTTTTAAATTTCTCATTATTAATCATATTAATTGGAGCAAAGGAGCAACAGGGGATGTAGCTCAGATGGTAGAGCGCTCGCTTAGCATGCGAGAGGTATGGGGATCGATACCCCACTTCTCCATTCTTTTTGCCTAATTTTTTATGTTTTAACTAACGGTAGGGCAGTATACCATATGTTTTTGCCTAAGATATATATTTTAAGTGCCCCTCCATTTGTGTGATAAGATTTGGCATATCTGCCCCTCCAGTTGTGTAATAAGATTTGGCATGTATGTTTGTGTTCCGAATATACTGAAAAATCTCTCATTTATTTGTCATGAAAAAAAACACAAACATATCAGATTCCTTGTTTTTTTTACAGAGGCTCACTCAATATTCACTATCCCTCGTACGAATTATTTCCCCAATTAATAAAGATCGCACTTTTCTTAAAAAAACTTGAGCTAAGCTGGTGTAATATTAATCATGATTTTCAAGAGTAATTATATTTGGATAGTAACAAGTTGAAGTGTTTAAAGTGTGGTTACATAAATAAATGGTAAGTAATCCAATTAATCAGATGTTTAATAAAGTGGATTTGGTGGATAATGATGTAAGATCCGAGTAATAAATAGATGACCATTTTTACCTCTCTTTTCTGTGTATAAATATGACTTGGGACCGAGAGCCCTCTTCGACATTCATCAGACTGTCAGCGTATATATGTATAGAGAGAGAGAGAGAGAGAGAGAGCTATACATACACATATAAGTATAGTAATATATACATATACTGGGAGTGACATAATTAATTATACTAATTAATCAGAGATTAATGGATCGTACTGGTCGTGTTTTTGGATTGGTTGGGTGCTTATTGCTGGTAATGCTTCATGGAATTGCGTGTCAGGTAGATTACCATGCAGCACTTACCAAGTCTCTGTTGTATTTTGAGGGTCAACGCTCTGGAAAGTTGCCGGATAATAATAAGCTGCAGAGAGTGCAATGGCGTGGAGATTCTGCACTCAAAGACGGCGCTGATGCTGGAGTAAGACTTTTTCCATCATCCTCTTCTCTCCGTACAATACTATCAATATCATTGGCTAAATTAAATTCATGAACAGATTGATCTGGTGGGAGGATACTACGATGCCGGAGACAATCTCAAGCTAGGGTTTCCAATGGCATTCACAATAACAATGTTGTCGTGGAGCCAAATAGAGATGGGCAGCCAACTCAAGGCAAAGCAAGAGCTCACAAATGTGTTGCATGCCATCAAGTGGGGAACGGATTACTTGATCAAAGCGCATCCCAAGCCTGAGGTGCTCTACGCGCAGATCGGTGAGCCTGATTCCGACCATGGATGTTGGCAAAGGCCGGAAGACATGGCCACCCCAAGAACCGCCTTCAAGATTGATGACCAACATCCTGGCTCCGATCTTGCTGCCGAAACTGCTGCTGCTTTTGCCGCAGCTTCAATCGCTTTCAAGAATTCGGACTATCAATACTCATCCAAGCTTCTAACGCACGCGAAACAGCTTTTTGATTTTGCATGCAATCACCCCGGTCTTTATCAGGACAGCATCCCTTCTGCCGGAAAAGTCTACGCCAGTAGTGGCTATCATGTAAGAATAGATATTTGCTTTTAACTACTTCAACTACAAGCAACACGCCAACGTGCATATATAGTTAATTATATGTACATGATTTGATTGCAGGATGAACTGTTGTGGGCAGCAGCATGGCTACATCGTGCTACAAATGAAAAAAGGTACCTGGATCACGTTGAGCAAGCAGAAGACGTAGGGGGAACAAGATCCGAATTCTCATGGGATGACAAATACGTTGGCGCACAGATCTTGATTGCAAGAGTACCTACCACTCTCCCTAATCCACATGAATTAGTATAATTACCATTAATTCTACCAATTAATATCTGATTAATTAGTACTAATAAAACATGTACACCTTGCAGCTTGTATTGGAGGGAAAGGTTGAGAATGGAGGAAAGTGGGCCGCATGCAAGAGCCACGCAGAGGAGTTCATATGCTCGTGCATTCAGAAAGGGAACACCAAAGTGCCGCAGACACCCGGTGGCCTGTTATGGTTTTCGTCCTGGGATAACATTCAATACGTAGCCACCGCTACCTTCGCCACCATTGTCTATTCCAATTATTTGGCCACCAAATATGGCTCCCTCAACTGTGCTGCTGGCAACGCTAATCCTTCTGATCTTATTGTATTCGTCAAATCACAGGTATTACATTACGGAAAAGTACTTTGGCTCTTTTACATGTAACATTTTGACAAAATGATTTATTTTTGTGTTTTGATAAAGGTGGATTATATATTGGGGTCAAACCCCAATAACATGAGTTACATGGTTGGATATGGAGGAAACTATCCACAGCGGATTCATCACAGAGGAGCATCAATAATATCGATCAAGAAGGACTCGACACCAGTGACATGCAAAGGAGGGTACGCCGATTGGTTCAACAGAGAAGCAGCGAATCCAAATGTCCTGGATGGAGCAGTCGTGAGTCCAAATGAAAATGATGGCTTCTCCGATGAAAGAAGCAATTTTCAACATGGTGAACCCACAACATATAACAATGGACCACTAGTTGGTGTCTTGGCTCACTTTGCTTAATTAAAAGCTACTTACAATACAATCTATATTCTGCTTAATATAATAAGAAATTGATTAAAATTATCAGAAATCAAATCCGAACAATTGAAATCATTAAAAGTAAGCATTATTGCAAGTTAGAAAACTAAAGTGCAATTTGCATTGCCGGAATTCCATAACGAATAGGACGAAAATAAAACTTTCAGAAAAAAAGAGGAGCCCGAGGTTTTACATGTCAGGGGCAGAGAAGCAGTTGCAAGTAGCAGCACGGTCCAGAAAAGCATCAAAATATATATAGGTATGTAAGTTCGTGTTGCAGATGCGCAACAGTAATACGCTCCAACAGATTCAGATTCAAGCTTCATCCATTGGGAGATAAAGTGAAAAAATATTTGAGTTATTAAAAATACATTTGTAGCTTAAAGGGTAAAATCGTTATTAATTACCTTATATGGTTACTTTTAATCACGATGGAAAGTATTTTGCACAAATAAAAAAATTTGTATTTTTCATAAAAAAAAACGTGGATTGTCATCACCGTTTCTAGGATATTTTGCAAATTATAACAAATATCGTCGTCAAATATATTTGCTTGCACCTCCACTGCAAGTTTGCAACGTGAATATGAAAGCCTTTTGTTATTATTCATGTAGATGGAGTCGCTTCTGGAAATGTTTTCGGCCTTACTACAATTTTTGTCCATTTATTTTTAAATTTTCAGCTTAAATAATCAATTAAAAATACATTTATAGCTTATTAAATGGTAAACAAGCTTTCATTTTGCCTTATAAAATTACTCTTGATAGTGATAGAAAATATTTCCCAAAAATAAAAAACTTACATTTTAATAAAAAAAAACGTGAGCTAACCATCACAATTTCTAACCATCATAACTGAAATATGAATAATGTTTCCATCTGCTTCGTTGCTTTTTTTTAAAAGTACTTATGCTCATGAATGCTTCTATTATTAGAAGGGCTTTTATTCTAAACGTGTTGAAATTTTTATTAAAAAAATCCTAAGATGCTTGTTCGAAGACAGTTTCTATGTGCCAAGAAGGCTTGTGAGTTTTTTCGTGTGCCGAAAGCCTTTACAAAAGCAATTTTAAAGACAACAATTCGGTATGATTTGGTACTGAGATGATTTTCAAAAAAACAAGTATAAAAAAAAGCTGGGAGCATTTTTGTGTTTGGTAAACTTCCAACTTCAGCTTTTTTTCACAGTTTTTGGTGAAAAAAAACAAAAAAAACAGAAACAGCAAAAGGTAGCTTTGAAAAACTGACTTTTCAGCTTTTGCACAAACCTCTTTTCTAAAAGGCACTGAGTGCTTTAATGAAACTTTCATATACCCAAAATGACCTTAAGCAATTAAAACTTCACACAGAGGTTCGGAAATTTACCCAATCGTCAATTAGGAATGAATTGGTCTTTGATTAGTTGTAATGGCATCGGTGATGCTTTGTTGGTTTCTAGGCAGAAAATACAGAGCATGCATTAGCTCTAGTCCTTTGAATTTAACCTCAAACTTCACAAATAAAGTCAAGAGAGTTACCCAGAGTTGAGATTTGTTGATTGGTGTAGATTCAGTCTCAAGTTCGCCGGAAAAATGACCAAGAAGGTCACCAGATTTTTGGGCATGAACACAGATAGGGCATTTGGTGTTAAATCCCAAGAATTTCACGCCAAAATTGATATGCAGGATACAGAAGTTGTAACTGAGATTAAATGAAGGTTGAATTGAGTTTGAAGCACCCCAATTTCATTGAGCCTCAGGTCAACTCGTCGAAGAGTTTTTCACTGAGAGGGAAGGGGTTGGCTTTCTTCATTTTTGAGCACTTGATCTTCACATGCAATGCCACCATTCAAATCCTTAGGTCAAACTACACCTAAAACAGGGAATATTGGTATGGATTTCACTTGAAAATTGGCATTGGTGTGGGATTTAGAGAAAGAGTTTATAGAGAAAGGAGAGTCTCACGGGAAAAAGAGAAGAACGAGAGAATAAGAGGGAGACCAAATAAAAGGAGTGGCCCCTCAAGGCACACTAAATATGACCAAACTCTTTTTGATCATTTCACACAGTCACAGCTGTTTTACATAAAAGTTTACCAAACACTATAATACTGTTTTTTTTCTTTCCAAAATTACTTTTACAAAAAAAATTTACCAAACACTTTACTACTTTATTTCACAGCTACTTATTCTTAGAGTACAATAAAAACAATTTTTTTTCAAAACACAGCAATACCAAACCAGTCTTTCATCATTTGGCGCTGCGACTGAGTTGGATTTGATTGGATAGCCAACTTATATGTTAAAGAAAGACTAATTTGGACCCTAGGGTGGAAGGTAAGAGACGAAACATTACAAAAAATGCCGAGTTTTTTTTTGGAAACAAAATGCCGAGTCTTTTATAAGAAGCTTTCGCCCTTACTTTCGTTTTTAAAATTTCTTCTAAGACGCTTTTCCCCAAAAGAGATAATTTCACTCGTATGGTCTCCTCCCCAAAAATTTATAAACCTCCTTTTTCCCTCCATAGAAACCCTAGAAGGGACAGAAGCTCTCTACTCTCTACCCCCTTCCTCTCGGGCTAACCCAAATACTCACACAGAGAGATGCCACGTGGTGGTAACTACTACAACTTCACGAAGATCAGGGACACCATTGATTCCGTCGGCGCCAAGGTCAACGTAATCGGCGTCGTCCTCGAGTGCAGCTTTCCTCGCCAAACCAGAGGCACCGGTAAATCTTCTTCCTTCAATCAAATTCATCAAATTTTTGTAATGTGCTTGCATATTTGTGTTAATTTGTCTATTTGTGGTGGCGATGATGAAACAAAGGCCGGACTTACGGCTGCTTCCGGCAAGGTCGGTAGTAGATTGATGAGACTCTTAACGAAAAGGTGTTTGCTGAGCCGCGTGTTACTTTTGTTCCATTTCTCTGGGTCTTTATAATATTTTGTCTTTTTCTGTTAAATTAATTATTTTTAGTTCTGCTTTTGGATGCAATTTTTCTCATTTCTTTCTGTTTGTTTGTTATATACGTATTGGTGTGAATTTTTTGCAGATTGGTTCGTTTCGGTGCGTATAATCGATGAGACGCATCAGGATCCCGGGTTGTCGGTTAACATTTTTACAGATAGGAATGAATGTCCTCGCATTTTATCTGTTGGAGACATAATTCAGTTCCAACGCGTCATGGTATATCTTGAGCTTAACTTCATTTAATTTTCTTTCCGGGATTCTTCAATTGCTGATTTCTCAAGCAAAATGTTCAATCTGTAACTAGTGTGGTATATTTTCATTTTTGCTAAAGATATTTTGATCAAATAAATTGCTTGTTGCCCTTCTTTTTCCCTACTAAATCATGTTTTCTTCGTTATCAAAATGTTCCATGTTATCTGTTATAAAAATAGATAATGTTATGTACTATCATTTACCCCATTTTATTAAAGGCATGAAATGTTCTGTACAAATCATGATTGTAGTTGACTTGGGCGTAACTTGTGCAGATTAATCATCATGTAGGTAAAGTAAATGCTGTTTTTTGCAAGAAGTTCTCTACCTTTGCTATTTATTACGGAAGTGACAATACAAATTTAAGTCCTTATCATGCTTGCAAAACATTTCGCGAGAGAGACCATGACAAGAACTTTGTGATAGACTTGAGAAGATGGTTGAAGAATTTCCATTTTCACGAAGGTATACTTAAAAAGTATTTTGTTTCACATAGCAACACAACGGCATTAAATTATGTATAAGTCTAACTCGTTCGCAGTAGATATTACAATGTTGTGGTTATTTTTGGATGACTGTGGATATGATTCTGGTGTGCTGGATGGATTATGGTTGTGAAAAAGGTAGTTGATGATAGTCCCACATGGATTAGGCTTTTGTAAAGATAGCTTGCTCAAAAGACAAAAGGGTTAGATTTACCTTTCTAGAATGTTGGAATTGTTTTTTGTTACATTCTTTTAAGATTATTATGTAATCATGTACATTTCCGGCATAGTGAGTGATGTTATTCAACTTGTCTTTCTCTAGACAACCATAACTAGGTTGGTGATAGAGATGCTATTTTTATGATAAGTCAGTGCTAGTTGTGAATGATCTAATTTGAAATCTCTTTTTCAAGGGAGATACCTGGATTTATAGGGAGTAAGTTTTCGTGAAATGGCATTGTGTGACGTTATTCAACTTGTCTTTCTCTAGACAACTATAACTAGGTTGGTGATAGAGGTGCTCTTTTTATGATAAGTCAGTGCTAGTTGTGAATGATCTAATATGGAATCTCTTTTTCCAAGGAATACGGTTGATCACTGGATTTATAGGGAGTAAGTTTTCATGAAATGGCATCATCATTTGAGCAAAGGTGTTTATGTTTTTGCTCTGGTTTTTTAGGCAAAAGTATATAGTGATTCTAAATCCTTTTACAAATCCACTTTAATGGTTTGTGAAGAGGAAGCACCATACGGTTATGATTCTATACATGCTGCCAAATACTTTGTCCAAATTAGAGGCACCCTGGATGGTAGATTTGTAGTAACTTTTGACCTAATTGTATATATGAGAAAAGATAGGAACTTTATTTTGCTTGGTAGATAGAGGTATATCATAAGCCTGCCTTATATCTTTTCATCTTGTCTTACTAGAAATGTATATGGTTTGTAGGTGCAAATTATTTCTCATTCGTCAGAGAAATGAAAGGAGGTGAAGATTTTAATTTGGTTTGTAAAGTAAGTCAACCGTTTTTGTTAAATATGTGTGCACTAGTTAAATGAATACTGCAGATTTGTTTCTCTTTTAAATGGGGAACAAAGCAGGATATTTGAATTATTTCTAAATTACTCAAATATGATTAAAGATCTAAGTCAGTTCCTTTTGTTCTGTAATTATTCCATGTACCGAGTACAACATAATAATTTTCTTTGTTTTCTACCTCAAGATAATCCATATCCATGAGGGTGCTGGAAATGAATGGATGGCCTTTGTTTGGGATGGAACCGATGCTCCACCAGCAGATATTCTTCAAAAGTGAGTTGATAGCTGTTAATGTTTATTTTTTCTTATATAACATCATAAAATTATGGGGTACTTTGCAATTGCTCCCTGTCTCGTCAGAAAATTTCAAAACGGGTCCTTTCCTTTTTCTTCAAATATAAGACGGGGGTTATTTTCCTTTCATATAATTAGTGTTGAAGTTATATAAAGTGATTGATCTTTTCAACATACTTCCCATTGATATTCTGTTATCAATTTTTTGTTGGATTTTTTTTTTCCGTGCAATTCTCCTCAGGAGTGAACTTACCAAATTGCAATCCATGTAATGGTTTATGACATTAGCGCATCACCTTACTGGACTGAGCCTATATATATATGTTTGTTAGTTATGAAAGCTAATTTAGTTTTATCTATATGGTTACTATTTGTATATTTTATCTGAGTAAAATATTAAATGTTGCTAAATCTGAACCACAGGCTAGAAGATGAAATGAAGCACCCACTTCCCCTACATCTGGAACCATTTCCTTTGCCAAGTGATACCTTATGCAGCAGCTTTCCTGCAGTTGGAACTGTCTTAAGAGTGATATCTCAGGACCTTGAGAATGACAACCTTCGCCTGCTAAAAACTGGGGAGTGGGTGAAGCTTGTAAATTTGCTATGTGAAGTGCATGCAGGAATATGGCGTTGTGTTCTGACACCCTTTACAAAGCTTCGATATACACCAAAAGAGGACCGTCTCAAACTTGAGCGGAAAAGGTTGTAACTTTCGGAAACCATTTAATTATCATTCATTGCATCATTATGTTGTATAACTCGCTAAAACTCTAATGCACATATCCCTTTGCATATTTTTTATGGATTAGGTTATTTAACGAACGATTAGCCCAAAGTCCAGAAAGTTTAATGCAGATGCCATTTGGGGGCTTTCCCTTGCCTCAAGTCACAGGTACTGCATTTTTTTTTTCTTGTGCTGAATTAATCTTTGATTTCTCATTCATTCACTTCTCTCTTTCAATTCTTGGAAATTGTTTCATCTCTTTGAAATTCTCTTATGATTGTTTATTTCCCGCAGAGGTTGATGATAGTGACAACGACCATGCAATATTTCTTACCTTAATGGATGTTGTTGCAAGTTCAGAGGTATCCTACCTCTTTCATGCAGCTCTTAGTTTATGCCTGTGCTTTCTTGCTCAGAAGCCTATTTATGCTTCTCTTTTTGTAGTTTTGTACAGTACATGAACTGTATGTATTCCATATCGTGTAGGTTCCAGCTAGTTTCAAGTGTGTAGTTCGAGTCATAGCAACTTTACCATGGCAGGCTGCGGACTTCCTCTTTCCTGCTGGGATTGACAGAATTAGGCTGACTCTGGAGGACTCGACCGCTAGAATTCATGCTTTTTTGTATGCAGAAGATGGGGTAAGAATTCGAATTCGTCACTAACTTATAGTCGGACAGACTATGATCCATCCTTTGGCCAGTGATATTTTCTTCTACTAATCTTCATTTTCATTTATAATATAGGTGAAATTTTTCGATGGCCAGTCCTCTGTCGAGGAACTGGAGATCAAACGCAATGCCTTGTTAGGAGTGAGAGTAAATAACGATGGGGTGCAAGATGACACTCGTAGAAATCCCCCTTGGGTACAAGTTTGGCTAAAATCTGAAACCGACCAACAAGGAAATCTGCACTACCTGGTTTTCGGCACCAAAGTGGTGGCAGCCTGAAATCATTAAACCGCTCACGTGGTTGGAGATCTATTTTGTAAGTTGTCTGCGGAGCTCAATGTTCCCAACCAACTCGACTTTGGGAACTTTTGTATATGATGCAGCTCGGATTATGTTTTTGTGTAACTAATTTGTAGGGCTTGATCGTAGTAACGCTTTGCAAGATGAAGATCCGAAGGCAGCCCGCAAGGTTGAACATGGTCTCTGCTGCTCGTTCATAATCCCTCTCGATCGGTACCCTTAGATGGGAAGAATGAAAAACAAAATAGTGTGAAGCCGGAGTGACAACATGTTTCAGCATGAGCTTCCTGACCATAGATAATACGCATGCATCCCAAATCAGCAAAGCAGCGAGTTCGTTCACCCTGCTCAGACGCCTTTCTGCATCGGTGCACAAACCGGATTCTCCTATGCACATGCGTCGCTCGCCATATTTGTCAAGAATCCACGCAGCGTTACTCCGCGCTACCTCATACCCTAACTCGGCCATCCTTGAATACAAGGAAAATGCCCGCCCTGCCCATGTCCCCTTTTAACTATGATTCTATTAAAAGTACATTCGTGGTTCAATAAATAATAAAATCGTTTTCAATTGTCTTATTAAGTTATTCTTAATCGTGATAGAAAATATTTTACAAAATAAAAAATTTGCATCTTCATAAAAAAAATACGTGGGATTACATCACGGTTTCAAAGCCGTTTTCCAATTTTATAAAAAAAATTTGCTTTCACCTAAATTGTATTGTAAGGTTCGGAAAATTCATGTAAGACTTTTTGTTAATGTATTTGTCAATGAAGTTACGTTTCGGCAATGTTTTGGCCCCACTACAATTTATGTCCATTTATCTTTATGTTTTTTGCTTAAATACTCTATCAAAAATACATTTGTTGCTTATTAAATATTAAATTGCTTTCAATTGCCTTATAAAACTACTCTTAATCGTGACAGAAAACATTTTGCAAAAATAAAAGATATGCATTTTTATCAACCAAAAAAAAAAAAAGGGTATGGGCTAACCATCATGGTTTCTAGGTCATTTTCCAAATTTATACAAAAATCGTTGTAAACTCTATTTGCTTTCACCCTAACTGCACAGTGAGATTTTGAAAATTTATATAAGACTTTTTTTTCTTTTCTTTTACATGTAGTCCTATTTTGGCAATGTTTTGAGCCTACTACAAATTTTGTCCATTTATTTTTAATTTTTTGGTTAAAATATTTTATTAAAAATACATTTGTGGCTCAATAAGTTGTAAAACCACTTTTAATTACTTTATAAGGTTATTCTTAATCGTGACAAAAAATATTTTGCATAAATAAAAAATTTGAGTTTTTGTCAAAAAAAATGTGGACTCCATCACCGTTTCTAGGATATTGTGCAAATTCGAACTAAAATCTATTTGCTTTAATCTTCACCGCACAAGTTAAAAATTCTTGTAAGACTTTTTGTTGATATTCTTGTAGATGAAGTCCTGTTTTTGCAATGTTTGGGACCTGCTTCAATTTTTGTCCATTTATTTTTAAGTTTTTAGCTTCAATATTCTTTTTTTTTTGTCGAGCTCAAAAATTCTATTAAAAATACATTTGTGGCTCAATAAATGGTAAAACATCTTTCAATTACCTTATAAAGTTACCCTTAATCATGACGGAGAATATTAATCGTCGTAAACTTTACTTGCTTTCAACTTAAGTTTGAAAATCCATGTAAAACTTTTGTCAATTTATTTTTAAGTTTTCAACTTAGATATTCTGTTAAAAACACATTTGTAGCTTAATAAATTATAAAACTACATTCAATTGCCTTATAAAGTTACTCTTAATCATGATAGAAAAATATTTAGCAAAAATAAAAAATTTGAATATATCTCAAAAATACGTGGGCTAACAGTCATAGTTTTTAGGCTATTTTGCAAATTAGTACGAAAATCGTCGTAACATCTATTTTCTTTCATCTTCACCACACCGTCAGGTTTTGAAAATTCATGTATGACTTTTTGTTGATATTCTTGTTGATGGAATCCCGTTTTGGCAATGTTTGGGGCCCCACTACAAATTTTGTCCATTTATTTTTTAAGGATTTTAATAGACTTATAAATCCATGATTTGGATGGAGTTTAATTGATTTGTAAAGATTCAGGGGAGACGTGAGATTTGTGAATGCTTAAAATACACTATGATATCTCTCCAATTTCATCAAATTCCTCAACTTTTAAAAATACTTTAAATAAATTCTTAATTGAATTCATCCAAATTTCTAAAGATACATGTTGAATTTCGGAGAAACGTTTAAAATCTTGATTGAATACTTCTAGATTTATTAAAAGAATTTAAAAAATTCTTTAAAATTCCAGTTGAATTCAACACCATATAGACTGAAATTTTATTAATTTGGATACTTTGATGGAAGGATAAAATATTGGATTTAAGTTAAGCAAATTAATAATTCCGTCTAAAATCATGAAAATACTCATACCATATAGGAATTTTTCCCTCAAATTTGAGTTGTGCTACATAAATATAATGGTACGAAATCCATATCAAATTAGTATAATAAAGTTGTTTATAGATATATTAATAATGAGAAAATCTAATGCGGTGATGAAGCAAAATTAATTTAGATGTCTAATACAGTGAATTTAGTGGATATAATTATATATCCATAAATGAATACTCGTTCTTATCTCCTCTTTTCTGGGTATATATATGAATCAGTACCTGCTTCTTCAATCTTCATCAGTCAGAGTACGCAGAGAGAGAGAGAGAGAGAGAGAGAGAGAGAGAGTGAGAGCTTTACGTGCACATATACATATACTGATCATCAAGAAATCAGTGAGAAAATAATGGATCATAGTACTAGTCGTGCTTTTGGTTTGTCTGTCTTGTTAGTGTGCGGAATGCTTCATGGCATCGCGTGTCAGCCGGTAGATTACCATGCTGCAGTTACCAAGTCTCCAGTAGATTACCATGCTGCAGTTACCAAGTCTTTGTTGTATTTTGAGGGTCAACGCTCTGGAAAGTTGCCGGAAGATAATAAGCTGCAGAGAGTGCAATGGCGTGGAGATTCTGCACTCCAAGACGGCGCTGATGCTGGAGTAAAACCTTTTCCATCATCCTATTCAATACATAAAGTTACACATACATATATGGAGTCTCGTTTACATCACCTGGTGACCAAAGATTCATGGTCACTTATTTTTACATTTGATATCAATGATTGAGATTAAAACACTAAAAGCACATTTATTTATTCGCCACCTTTGATTCAAAACCAAAAATGATTGACTATATATTTAGATTCGGACATTTAAAGTTACGCAGGGGAAGTAATTGTTGATACTCCACAAAGTCCTAATGAAACCCTAACATAAAATTATTTTTAAGATTTTTAGGAGGCGTGCATAATGACTTTTATGTACTATTAATGTCATCGACTCAATCAAATTAATGAATAGATTGATCTGGTGGGAGGATACTATGATGCCGGTGACAATCTGAAGCTAGGGTTTCCAATGGCGTTCACAATAACAATGCTATCATGGAGCACAATAGAGATGGTCAGCCAGCTCCAGGCAAAGCAAGAGCTCGCAAACGCCTTGCTCGCCATCAAGTGGGGAACCGATTACTTGATCAAAGCACATCCACAGCCGGACGTGCTCTACGCGCAAGTTGGAGAGTCCGATTCTGACCATGGATGTTGGCAAAGACCGGAAGACATGACCACCCCGAGAACCTCCTTCAAAATTGATGCTCAACACCCTGGCTCCGATCTTGCTGCTGAAACTGCTGCTGCTTTTGCCGCTGCTTCAATTGCTTTCAAGAATTCTGACTCTCAATACTCGTCCACGCTTCTAATGCACGCGAAACAACTTTTTGATTTTGCCCGCGATCACCCCGGTCTTTATCAGGACAGCATCCCTTATGCCGGAAAAAGCTACAGCAGTTCCGGTTATCATGTAAGAGTAAATGCTTCTATCTACTTGAGATGCAAGCAATACACATCGAAAGAAAATAAAAGTGTCTATGTAGCTAAGAGCTATTTGATAAGCATTTTGTTTTTATATGCATGATTTGTCTGCAGGATGAAATGTTGTGGGCAGCAGCATGGCTGCATCGCGCTACAAATGAAAAACCGTACCTGGATTACGTTGAGCAAGCACAAGATATAGGGGGCACAAGATATGCATTCTCATGGGATGACAAATACCTCGGCGCACAGCTCTTGGTTGCAATGGTACTACTTAGAACTCTCCTTAATCCGCGTTAATTACCTCAACACCAATAAAACATGTGCATCTTGCAGCTTGTACTGGAGGGGAAGGTTGACAATGCAGGAAAATGGGCAGAATACAGGAGCCACGCAGAGGAGTTCATTTGTTCGTGCATCCAGAAAGGAAGCATGAACAGGAAGCGTACACCCGGAGGTTTGCTATCGTTTGCGCAGTGGGACAACATTCAATGCGTCGCCACTGCTACCTTCGCCACCATTGTTTATTCCAATTACTTGGCCGCCAAAAATGCCTCCGTCAACTGTGCTGCTGGCAACGCTAACCCTTTTGATCTTGCTGCATTCGTCAAATCACAGGTATTGCATTACGGAAAATACTTTGGCTGCTTTACGTGCAACAAGTCAAACATATACAGTTTGACACATGGGCATACTTTTTTATTTTTTTTTTATTCCTTTTGTGTTTTGATTAAGGTGGATTATATATTGGGGTCAAACCCCAAGAACATGAGTTACATGGTTGGATATGGAGCAAATTATCCGAAGCGGATTCATCACAGAGGTGCATCAATTATATCAATCAAGCAGGATCCGACACCAGTGACATGCGGCGGAGGGTACACTTGGTGCCACAGCAACGCACCGAACCCAAATGTGCTAGATGGAGCTGTCGTGGGCCCAGATAAAAATGATGGTTTCTCCGACGATAGAGGCAATTTTCAACTTGGTGAACCCACAACTTATAACATCGGTCCATTAGTTGGTGTCTTCGCTTACTTTGCTTAGTTTACAACTATTTACAATGTAACACATTGTGCATAATCTTACAAGAAAGGGCTAAAATGATCAAAAATCAAAATGCAATTGCTGAACTAGTCTAAATTATTAATGTCGTATTCAAAAATTGATCTTTTCAGTAGTTGAAATTTGTAAAACGATCATTGTTGCCAATTTCCATATATAATATGCCTAAACCATTCAATAAAGTGAGATTTTTAATCTTTTTTGGCCGTTTTCTTTCTTTTCACCTCTGCTTTATGCTCCAAACATAGTGAGCAGTACAAATATTCGACACATTAAAATATATTCGGGGACCCTCTATTATTAGTTTATATTTAATTTTTATTATTTTTTATTTTAAAAATCAACAAAAATTAATTTCGGCACCTAATAAATTGTAGGATCACATTCAAAGGTGTTGCAACATTTTCGTTAACTCCTACGAAAAATATTTCCCAAAACTAAAAATTTCAATTTTTTTACAAAAATTGTAAGTTATATTTTCCAATCAATTTTGAAGATTATTACAATTTTTATTATAAGCTAAAATTCGAGTCATTCTAGTCATATCACATGTTTCCTAAAATTAATTTA